TGTTATGGGATTAAATACTTGATTGTATAATTGTATAATGTTATTATTCCTGAGTTAATGAAATTAATTATAAACTAATATTATAAACCTAAACTTGGAACAATAATCAACTTGGATAATTGGAAATAATATTAAATGTTGAAGAAATTAAAAGATGATTAATGAATAAATATTAATACTAAGGATAATGATGAACTTGAAGAGATATTGAAATAAATTAAATGAAAGGTCTGATTCCCTTTCTAAAATAATTGAATCAGTAGTACCTTCTAAAATGATGAAACAACAGTCTTACCTTCAAGAAAGGACTATAAACTCCTTAAAAGAATCATTAAGTCACACTCTACTTAGGTGATTCTTGAAAAAACCAAGGACCACTGGTGACATCAATCTTTTATCTTTGATATTTTTTAAAAAATCTGAAAAAAATTTTGAAAATTATTATCAAAAGTTATTACATATAGAACTTTATAATTTACTAATAAACTATTAAATATATTATTAATTAATCTTATAGCGAAGAATAAGGAGCATCGTTTATGAAGTTTTTAGATTTTATATTAACGAATTAAATTTAATATCAACAGTTGAACACTGAACATTCAGAAATTATTCTCTAGAATTCAATCGTTATTTATTCGCTCAATTTTAATTAAATATATCTGAATACTTCATATATAATATACTGTATTCTCAGCTTTAATATTACTTAGTACTACTTTTATTATTAAATTAATAAATGATAAAGTTTTATATGTGTAAACAATTGACAATTATTTTTCAGATTATTTTCTTATTTTTTAAATTTTTTAATAAATTTTGGCCGTTTTTATTCACGTCTAATTAAAGTCAAAAATTTCACTAGATACTATGAAAAATGCTTCTAATTAATATTGTGGATACTGTTCTTGGCTATTATTCCATATAAGATAGTTGATATTTATCTTTAAAATTCATCAAATGCGATATGGGTAATATTCAAAGATTAAATTTTTTATTTTTTGTCAATTTTGTTTTAAGTGTAATTTCTCTATGCATAGACATTTAATTTTAACACAAAATATATTATATGATAGTCCTAGTTTAGGGGAATCCAATAAAAAAAAATTTGTGCAATTTAGATCACCCGTTGTGTTACAATTAGTATTTTAATTTTATTAATTTTTTTATTAATTTTTGTTTGCACCATGACTTTTGATACTCCACTGTACTAAATGTACTAACTGTACTAAGAATAGTTAATACATCTGTATTTCATATTGAGGTGTACTAGTACAATTTGTACTAAGTACACTAATAAATAGTTAGAAGTGTAAAAGATCATTTGATTCAACTATTTATTGTGATGAATGAAATATGAGACGAAAAACTTAATACGTAATGGTCACATTTATGTTTATAATTTTAAATCATAAAAATAAAAGTCATGATACAGACTATTATTATACCGTAGCACTATATACACTTAAATTTATTTGGATTCTTTAAATGATTTAAATGACAAGGTACTTTTAAGATTATTATGAAGAGAAAGGAGAATGTGTTTAAGTTAGTACATCCTGAATTTTTCCTTACATAAAATTACATGATGCAGGAATACAGATAAACTGTACGGTACGAAACGCTATTTTGTACTGTACGAATAGTAACTTGTACGATTTATTTGTGGCTTGTACGGTTGATTAACTAATATCATGTGATATTTTTAACCATGAGAATTTTATCTGAATGATATATAAATGTGACGAATAATATTTTAGATCCAAAAAAATTCCAAGTCCTTAAAAAATATAATAAAAATTGAATGTTGAGGTGTGTTGAGGTGGTGATAATAAAATATAACACATCTAATTGATTTGCATGTGACACAAACCCTAACCCCTAATTTTGACATAAATAGATAATAATGTATATTACAGGGGTTGGGTTTATATTTAGTACTGTTCGACTTTTTAATATAAAAATACTTGTACTGTACGGTTTTTTAACATAAAAAAGTTCATACAGTACAATTAGATTTTTATAATATATATATTATTGTACGAATTTTGTGCAAAAATTTATATAAAATCGTACAGTACAAAATAGCGTTTCGTACCGTACAGTTTATCGTCATACCTACGCGATGCGTGGCACAGTAAATATATTAATCACGATTTAATAATCGTCGTTTATCAATATCACATTATGTCACATATGTGATATAATAATTTAGTGGCATTTGACCAATAATAATAATAATCAAATCATGGCATGCCAAGTCATTAACTTGGCAAAACTTTAAAATTATTCTTTTATATTTAATTTTTAATACACATATACACTGTACAATAAAAACAAATAATAACTATGTCTTCGTGGGTAATCACCGTGGCCTATGTAAGCTGCATGTTAATGGTCATGAGTACATTTTCTTATATATGGCGAAGACGAAAAACTGGTACTGTGTTCAGACTGAATTAGATATATTCAGTTTAATTATTTTTTGATAAAATATTTCTAATAAACATTAAATTTTAATTTCGTCTTATGATATTATTCTCATTTTCCAATTTTATCAACTAAGCTAAGATGACTATCATACCATGGTTTCCTGAGCATACCACAAGAGACATATATATTTCCCTTCTTCAACAAGAATCAGCCACCGACCTTCAATTAAGAGCCGCTCTTTTACGCCGTGCCATGACAAATATTGAAAGGGTATTTAAATTAAGGGAGGACAGACGAGCTCTTTCTATATTATTACATAAAGGTGCTGTAGGTGACGATCTATGGATTTCGTTCACACAAGCTGATCAAGAGAATCAAAGAGATATGATGGAAGTTACAGCAGAAGCTGATACTTTTAAAGAAAATTGGGGGCAAACGATATTACATACTGCCAATGAAATGGTACAACATGAAAGGCATCGGGAAATTAATGAACAGATTAAGGAATTGAGAGAAAAGGAAGAGAAGGAATTTAAAAAAAGGGAAGAAAGGGAAAAGGCAGAAGAAATTGAAAGAGAAAAAAAGGAAAAAATTAAATCAGAAAAGGAAAGAAAAAAAGCCGAAGAAGATTTATTAAAGATGGATGAGGCAGAAAAGAAAAAATCAAAAGATAATAAAGATAAAGGAAAAGGAAAGAAAAAATAGAATAGCTGAAATATCTAATAGAATGATATATTGATTATATTTATATTATATAATGTTTAGCATAATTGAAAGATTTTACATAATAAACATTCTAGCTTCAAAACCAAAAATAATGTAAATAATTTTAATAAAAAATTAAATATTAGTCATGTGATTGTATGATTTTATTAAATACGAGGACCCTTAACCGTATAGAGGTCAGTTTCTTATCCTGTGCTTCATCCGAATTTCATTGGTCAATAATTTACAGGTGATCTTAATTATTTCACGTAATTATTAATGTGACAAATTATAAATGACGTTTATTGCATGTCGAACGTAAATCAATTTTATAATTAAAATAATCTGTGTAACCATGTTTTTAGTTAACACACTACACTTTGTATACTAATATTATTGACTTTTTTCCGCTTTTTACATTTAGACAAACTTCGAACCGTCACTTTTTTTAAGATCTTTATAAAAGTAAAGGTAAATTTATATTTTTAATAACAAAAATATATGTATTTTTGCAAGAGGAAAGATAATTTCTTAAGATACAAATGCTATTAATTGGACAGTTTTCATGTAAAATACAAAAAATTATTTTTTAATAATAAGAATAAATTTTTTAATATAACAAACTCTAATAGAATACTTTTTAAGCTAAATATTTATTTTTTATTTTAATTATGCAATTATGCATTAAAATAGAAACAAATTATATTGTTTCATTTTGAAGATAAGAGATAAGTGGATTAAAAGGATAATTTATTTGGTTTATTTTTTATTTTGAAAATAATAGATATATGGGTTAAAAAGATGATTCATGTTTCAATGTAATAATTTTTTTGATTAAATAAAATGAATTTTTAAACTAGAGATTAATATTATCATTATTGTTTTTATTTTTATTTAATTTTTTTTTTATTATTATGCCATTCGTCCCTAACCTTCTTTTTGGTCCAATGATTGGAAATTTGTAATAAAGATGTTAATACTAAATTTGTATCATTATCTGTGGGATTTGTATTAGCTAAATATGGAGTAAGAATTTCTATTTCTTCGGATATTTTAATATGCCGTGTTCTTTTTGTGGGACGTTCTTCATTTATAGTTGATGAAATAATTTGAGAAGTGAATTGAGGATTTGAAAGGTTTTTTGAAGAGACCGATTGTAATGTAGTTGATATATTCGAAGAAATTAATGTATTTGATACAGTTGATATTGTATTTGTTATAATTGTTTCTGTTTGATTACGTTTTTTACTTGTTTCTTTAATATCTTTAACTTTTGTTACTACTATTCCTTTTGCTCTTCTACCTTTTGTATATATTGGTTCTATATGTAATACTTCTTGTTTGTATATTTGTATTAATCTTTGCTTTCCTTGTTCATAACTTTCAATAAGTTTTTTATAACCTAAAGTGGTTAATTCTTTACAATTCTTAAATAATAAGTGATTTGTTGATATTGGATTTTCAAAAGCATCAGTTAAAGAATCAATTAATGTCCACATTACTTCTTGCTGGCTGTTTATTGCATGTTCAGTTTGTGATATAGTAATGTCATTGACAAATTCACCTATTAGTAAATTCATCCTTTATGTTTGGTTTGGGCTACTTTAATCTGTCTTTTTAATGTTTCATTATCAAACACATTTCCAGTAATGTTTTATTTAATAAATTTGACACAAGTGCCTCATCAAAAGCAAAATAATGATTATCACATGTGATATTTACTGATCCAGTATTTTTGCCAGCCATTGGAAATAAAGGAGCAAACATTTAAGTTGCATTAAAGTATTTCCTGTACAAATATTTACTCTATGTCCTTTACAACAGCACTCCAAATAAGATATTATCATTTTCATAGTAATTTCGTATCAATAACTTTCATTTATGTTAAATATTCATAATATATCATTTCGATAGTCATCACTTGCATTTATATTGTTGTGATTTTCAATTGAAATTGCACTGTCAATCGCAACAATTTTAATTGACATTGTATTGTTAACAAAGTCTTTCAAAGTTTGTCACAGCAATTTTAATTAACATTATACTGTCAACGATATCCTTCAAAATTTATCACAACAATTTTAATCAACATTGCACTGTCAACAATATCCTTTAGAAGTTTATTGCAGCAATTTTAATCGACATTACACTGTTAACAATATTCTTCAAAGTTTATCATAGTAAAATTGTATTGTTAACAATATTGTTAACAATATTTTTCGAAATTTATCACAACAATTAAGGTTAGTATTTATGTTTACTGAATGTAATTATATTATTGTTATAATTTTATTAAATATCATATTGATCCAAAGTTTATTAGTATTAATATGTTCCCGAAACCTTTGATGATTTAATATATTATAGTTAAAGATTTCAGAATAACTAGACAATTAACAAATAACTTTTGAAATTTATATCACTGCATTTTGATCGACATCGATATCCTTCAAAGTTTATCATATCATTGATTATTGTTTCAAATTTTCTTCAAAGGTTAATGTTTTTTTGTTTGTGCAATAAGATCAGTTATTATATATGACTTATTATTTAACTATGTATTTTTTTGTTTATTTTCAAAATAACTACTTTTACTCTATCTAAACAATTCATACGAAATTCTTCAAAAAGAAATAAATTTATATCTTCATATTTTTGTTATTGTTATATCAAAATACATCAAATAAAAGACAATAATTTAAAATATATTTAATAATATTTATTGACTTACATCGACTTTATTTTATAACTTAACAAGTAAATAAATATATTTTATACTTTGTTTACTTTCAAAAATATCTCATTAACTTTAACATATACTTATAAAATACTTCAAAATAATATATTTATATCTTCCTATAATTTATTCTATTGTTATATTAAGTATATTAATTTTGTAATATTATTACTTGACCTATGTGATTTTATTTTGTAATATAAGAATATTAATAATATATATATCAATAGAATATCTTCAAAGAGATGAAAACTAATAAGTTATTTCTACAAATTTATAAGGTAAAAAAATTTAAAATTTTTCTATATAATTTAAAGATCTTTTTTTAAAGAATTTATTTTATTAAATAATTACATTAAGGTTTTATATAGTAGTATTTAGAATCATAATAAGTTCTCCCTTTGTTAACATATTTATGATAACAATATAAGTATTTAAACTATTTATTTGAAAAAATTAATTTACTTCGAATCACAAAATGTTACAATATTTAATTATATATGAATATCTTGAAGATATATAATGTAACATATTCTGATAATTCAAATAATAGAAAATTCAAATTAATAATATTAACTTTAATTATTATAATAGAAAATTTATAAGAAATTTGAAAAGAAATTTGAAAAAATCTCAAAAAAGTAAATAAATATCTTTCAAACTTTTGTAAAATTACGAAAAAAAACAAAACAAAAGTTAAAATATTATTATCTTTATAAAAGAATAAAAACAAAAAGAAGTATCAAATAATATAATATTACAAAAAATAGAAACCTACGTTATATTTAAGAATTATATAGAAAATAGTTACCCTATATTATTGTGTTATCGTATGAAAATGTATAGAAAAATAAAAAAAAAATATTATAAAATATTTATTATTATCTTTTAATAATAAAATCAATAATAAATTATGTAAAAATTCAAAAAGTAATAAAATATTACAAAATAAAATTTTACAATAAAAATGATTAAATTCGAAATAATCTGAAAACAATAAACCTGAAACAAAATACATTAAAATACTAGCTGTTGAATTTCGAAAGTTTATGTTATTGTTAAAAATTTTAGCATTGAACTTTAAAGGTTTTTAATAATAAAATAATGTGTATTAAAATTTAACTATTAAATTTTAATTTTGAAGGGTTGCGACACAATCGATAACTTTCAAAATCTAATATTACAATATAATTTTAAAGGTTTTCAAATTAATATAATTACTGATATAGTTTTTGTCTCTGAAAATTTGAGTTTTGACTATAATTATTAGTATTATTATTTTGTAATACATTTTAGTTTAAACTTAAATTCCTTAATACTTGTAATACTGCAAAAATGTTATTATTAACAACAGAATTTTAAACAAGTGGAGCTTGTTGGAATTGAGTATTATTCATTTGATATTGATTTATTTGAGAAACACTAGGGTATTGGCTATAAAATTCTATAAGAGTTTCAAGATATAATTTTTCATAGTTTTCAATTGACTTTATATTTCAATAACTTGTTCAAGGATAGTATTTGGTTGAAAAGTTAACTGTGTAGTAGTTTGAATAGTAATTTTTCTTCTTAATTCTTTAGTAAAATAAAAAACCTTTTCAAATTCTGACATACTTTTTTCAACATCAGCTTTTTTGATCAATTTCCTAATGGCCTGTACATATTGATATACTGTTTCATGTGGTTGTTGTAATTTATTATTTAATTCCATTCTCCATTGTAATAATCTTCCTGAATTTCTGAAATAAGTTAGAAAATTATTTTTAAAATTTCGATTATTAGCATTTGTTCAAGATTGAAATTGTATAGTAGGATTGGTATCAACTTCGTCAAATCAAATTTGAACTTCATTCATAAAATATCCTCTAATACTATTTAATTTATTTATAAAGAAATATTCATTTATATCAGCATGTCAGTCAAATTTCTCTAATTATTTAACAAGATCTTAATTTTTTTCAGAAAAGACAGGTAATATTTCAATATGTCAGATGTTTTATTATTAAACAATTTGGTTAAGATAATCAATTATATTTGTGTTATTCATTTCTTCTTCTGTTCTTTTTGATTATTTTTAGATATGTTAGAATTAATTAAAACATCTAAATTCTGATTATAGTAAATCTTCAAGTATATTCAAGACAATTTAAAAAAAAGTCTAAAGAATATCTCTTTGTTTAAGGTGTTGAAATCAAAGTATTTTTAACAAGTTATCAATACGATTTTCTATTTATTTGGATTTCCTTCTAATATTAGTTCACAAAAATGATTGACAGATTATTAGGTATAAAAATATACAGAAGTATTAAGATCAAATCAATTTTGAAAGGATAAAAATCTAGTACTAAGAAATAAAGGTGAAAGATTATAGATAATATAAGAAGGGTCTTGATAAAGGTAAAAGTTGTTTCTTTGGTATTGGGTTAATTGTTCAGGAGTAATGTGAAATAAATTGTGAAATCAATGTAATCTTTGTTGAATTCTCCAATTAAACATATATTTTTACTAACCTCACAGGAGACATCAATTTGTTATGCACAATTTGTTAATATGATTTGAAGGTTTAGTTTATCTATTTAAACTTTATAAACTTTAGGTTAAACTTTAAGTATACTTTATTCAAAAGTTTACAAATACTATGTAATTAACTTAATAAGTGAGTTCTTTTAAAACAACTAGAGGATTTTATTACATCAAATTAGTTTGTGACTTATACAAAATGCAAGAGATAAAATAATATAATAATAAGACAATAAATGTAAGATAAATATATGATTTATTAATAATATGAAGATAAAAATAATAAGAAATAATATAAAAATAAAATGAAACTCAAATTAAATATATAATTTAATTACTTTTGTCTCAAGAACAAAAACTAGAAGAAATATAAAAGAAAAATAAAACTAAAATTAGATCTGTTTATCCTATCTTTGTCTTCTTCTGTCTGTAGAAGAAAAAGTCCTCTATTTATAATATTTAGGCTACTGTATCTCGATTACTTTTGTGTAATCAAAAATATTCTAAATTATTTCTTTGTAACAGGAGATGATTACCAGAAATAAGTATTTAATGATAATTATCTGTGATAATTATCTAGGATATTCATCTCATATCATCAAATGTTTTACTAAATAGATATTCATTAAAGATATTCATCTCCCAAATTTGTACTACAAATAATATATAAATGATAAACAAATAAAAATACAAATAAAAAAATAATAATAAAACTAATAATAAAATAATATATAATTAAATAATTAAATAAATATAATATAGATTAATGAATTTTTTTTGCATTACAATATATATTCAATTCCTAGTGATTATAAAGAAATGGCTAAAGAACTTTTAAGAAAAATAAATAATGACTTTTTTTTTTAAGTTTGAGTAATCAGTAAAATAGTTATTTTATAAAAAATAAAAAAATTTACAAGTATTATTTTAAAATTACTTATAATTATAAATATTATTAAATCTTAAATAGTTATTAAAATTTACAGATGGACAAAAAGATATAAAATTTGTATAACAATTTAAATACAAGAGTAAAAGTATCTATTTTTAAAATCTTCAATAAATTATTATATATTATTAGTAATATGTCAGTAACTAAAATTACTGCATAAAAGAAAAGTTCTATAGTATTAGAATAGTACTAAAATATTACAAGAAATTGTTTAAAGAAATTAAAAACATTTATAAAAAATATATTATATGTATTATAAAAAATATATGGTTCAAAAAAGAATTCATTTCAGATTCTTATACTACCTAATATATGTCAATTGTAAAATCTTTCTAAATCCCAATAATGAATATATTCAAATTACTGAAGATGTTGTTTAGTCTTTTGTTGAAAAAAATTTACTAAGTAATTGAAATAATTATTATTGTTAAATAAAATTCAAAACTAATAAAAATATATAAAAAAATATAAAAATATAAAAATATAAAAAAAAATTAAAAATAAGGTTAGATTTAATAATAATTCTGACTTGTCAAAAGAAATTTTTAAAACTTTTAAAAGAAAACAAAAAAATCAAATGAATAATAATACAGAACTTTTAACTTTTGAAGAAATACAAGTAATATTAGAAAAAGTAATAAATAAAAAAAAAGATAAAGTGAATTATAACCTTTCAAAAATTCTAAAAAAAATGATAATAATAATAACAATAATGATTATAATAATAATAATTATAATAATAATAATGATTATAATAATAATATTAATAATAAAGATGATTTTTAAATAATTGAAATAATTGAAGGTAAAGGTAATTTACAAATAATGTAAATAAAAATAATGTGTAAATTTGTAAAACAAAATAAAAAAATAAATTAATTAATATGTTTTTACTTAACAATTTTTTTTAAAACTAAAATAGATCTTTATCTATCTAAAAATCATAACTTTAAAGTATTAAAAATATAATTTCAATATTATTTCTCATTAAATATCACATGAATTTATTCAAATAATATTTGAATAAATTTACAGAAATTTACAAATATATTTATATAAATTCATAAATTTATCTAAATTTTTTTTAAATTGAAAAATATTTAGATATTTTCATCTTCAAAAATTTTCTAATATGCCTGTTCCCTCATTTTTTTTTTTTTTATATTAGAATTAACTTTCGTTTGGTCTTAAAGGTATTTATTGGTAATTCTGCAAGTATTACAAACTCTGCAACTTAACTATTTACTTTATGTAATGAATCACGCTAGACCAGTAAAATATTATTCTTCAAGATTCCAAGTTACAACCCTACTATTAGCGGTCCAACAGAATACTGTAGTAAACTGATAGATATTATACTGAGATATCATTATGGAAGGACAATATTACACTGTAAGATTGCATCCTATTTAAGATCTTTTTATCCAGATATCCTTATAATTAAAAGGTGCAGAATTTGAAAATTTATATACTCTCTACTTAGTAGTAACTAGGCTATCTGTCATAATTACTATTATGACTAAGTACAAGATATAAAGTTTATATCTCTTATTCGCTTTTCATTTATCACAAACATAACAAATATTTTGAAAATTAAACTTAACCATTAAACCACTAATCTAAGCACTAGTTATCTCGTATGAGATACATTTCAATTTACATGACCAGTTAGTGAATGTTTACATATGATACCTGAAAAGATATATAATTCTCTTTTAGGTAAGGATACTGGTTTATATCTACTAAGCCTTAGATTATAAAAAGATTATTATAGCATACTAATTGTAACTAGCTGGAATTGATCTGTTGACCTTATGACTTAGTTCTGATACACTAGTTACTAGACTATGCAAACTAAAACCTGTACTTGTTTTCTCATATATATACTCAATTTCAGTAATATATTATAAAAAAAATAACAGAATACTACATTTTTTGATATCATGTTTTTGAATATAATTTCAAGATATATAAGTTTAATAATATTTATATATAAAAAATGAAGTTATATATTTACTTTAATAATATATTTTCAAAAATATTTTTAAAAAAAAATTACACTTTTTGATAACATATTTTCAATATGTTTTTAGATAGATCAAGGTATAATAATCTTCAAATATATCATATAATATTTATGAAAGAACATTATACTTTTTAATATATATAGTTAAATATGTTTTTAAAATAAATAACATATATTTACCTTTTCACATATATAGTCAAAACTATTTACTTTTTTGCAACTTAAGTATACATGATAGAATTATATATTATAGATTGTAAATATATTCAATAGAATATATATAGCATATTTGATAATATATTTACAATATACTTGATAGCATATACTCTGGTCCTTATCAAAAAATTAATTAGAAGACTAAAGGTACTATATATCAAGTTTAGACATAGTTCTCATATCAGCTTGCAAATGATGACACATAATTAAATGCATTGTTAAGTATTTTTTTTGTTTATGTAGTTTAATAATAGAAATTAATTGCAATTATCAAACTGATATATATTATTTCATATGTAGCCTGATATACAAAATATGCCATCTTGATACATATTATAAAAAGCAAAATTCATGTTACTCGAGTATAGCCTAAAATACAAAATACACATCACACTGGCACATGACTTAGTACTACTTATACCTGCCACCCAAATTCAAAATCCAAATGCCGAAATCCCAAATGCCGAAATCCCAAATCCCAAATCCCAAATTATGATTAGTATTTTTTGCCAAAATCCCAAATCCCAAATCCCAAATACTAGTAATTTGGAATTTTGGTGTCCCAAATCCCAAATGATTTGGGATTTGGGCAACACGTATAGTACTACTCAAGTAACAATACAAATATAATCTATGTAATATTCAATATGTAAACTATAAACATCTCATCTATATATTATAAAAACAAAACACATATTACTTGAGTGTGTCATAAAAATTAAATTATGACATACATTTGAGACTATAGTAGTCTAATCTAAGCCAGTTTTTGTTTATATAAATAAAAACTGATTACTTTATTAAAAATAAATATAAGAAATATAAGAAATAGATAAAATATATAATAATAAATAATAAAAAATAAGTATATAGAAATGATAAAAGAAATAATATTTATTAAAAAAATAAATTGGAGAATTATGAACTAAATAACTAAGGAACTTAAACTTGAACTATTAAGACTTGTTCTGGAACTTACTAATTAAAAACTATATCTTTTTAACATCCTTTGTACTCAGACAAACTATATTATTTTCTATACTAGATTGGTTCTTTATCAAGTGATACAAATAATATTATTAAAAATAATTTCACTATCTATTCTCAGATATCTTACCTGAATATTTCCCTAGGTATTGTATTTAGATATATATTTGAGTAAATTAACAATAATAATTCTTAAATGTAGCACTTCTTATTTTACTTCTGATTTACAAAATTATAAATAATACAAATAAAGAAGATAAAAATAAACAAAGATAAAAATAATTATTTGAGATGTCACACCAGTAATAAAATATTTTCAAATATTTGAAAATTTTTATTCTACTTTATTTTTAGATAGTCTTTCTTTTTTTTTAAATGAGATAAAAACAGAAGAACTTTTAGACATTATTAATAAAGTTTGACATGTTAAGTTAATTGTAGATTTAAATTATTAATCAATTAAATTTATTAAAATATTTTTATAATTATTTTAATTTATTATATAATATTATTTTAATTATTTTAAGTTATCTAATTGTAAATATTTTTCATAATACTATATATAATATATATATAATTAAAAATAGACATGATTGTAATTATATATAAAAGTTTTTAATTTTATAATTAAATTATAAATTTATTAACAAATATATTTATAATTAAAAATTAAATATATCTATTAGTTTTATATATAATTTTATTATTGCAACATAATTGTAACATTGTAATATAATTATGACATTGTGACATAATTATAACATTGTGACATAATTACGGCATTATGAATTGTTACAATTATTTTTTTAACTACAACTTGAGTTACAACTCTGTAGTTGTAACTCTTGTCTTAATACATCAATTCTGTTAGGCATCACTAGTTACAAATGTTGGTTCCTGTATTATAGATCAGCTAGAAATTGAAAAAAATCAATTATTGTATTCTATATTATAAATTAGCTAAAATTGGAATTCCTTTTTGATACAGTTATTCTTTTGTATTTGACTTGTGTTGTACCTTCAAGTTAATTAGATGCAGTTTGGTTTAACTTGACTTGTTATAGTTTGACTTGACTTTGGTTTCAAGTCAAACAAAACTGAACTGTTAATGATATTAATTGTATCTGACTTAATAATTGCATCAATTTAATATGTAAAAATGAAAATTTTACTTGATTCAACTCTAATTTTTTCAATTTTTTAATTGTATCTGATTTAATTCAATAATTTTGATAATATGTATCACTGATCAAAAATTTATAATTTTGACTATACATGTTTATAAAATATTTTGAGATTTTTGAAATATATATTCTATATATGGAAATAAAAAAGTATCCAGTCTAATGTACTTTTAATTAAAGAATTTATTTGAATAATCAAAAAAATTTTAAGTAAAATAATTTTTACTTTATAATATTTTGTCTTCTGTTTTATTTCATTTCCAAAACTATATGAAATTTAATTTCAGATACAAGTATAATCCTAACATTTAAAAAATATTTTGATTGCAAGATAGATTGAATAGTTCTTTGTGAAGAAAAGTAACTTGTTAAAAGATCATATAAGCTAGAAACAGTCTTACTGTTGTCAACTTTAACAATTGATATTGGATATGCATTTCCTAATGAGCTTTAAGAAGATCTTGTAATTAAATGGTAAGGTCAACTGTATAATAACTATTCGGTACCAAAATAAGATCTCCCTTATATAAATTATGCAGTTGGTTACTTTAGGTACATATCAAGAATGCAATTTCACCTGCTATTATTGCATAGTTTAAAAGAGGTACTTCATGGGCTATAATTTTTCTATTGATCAAATAAATATTAACAGGTAGCTTTTGTTCAGCTTTGAGATACTTGATGTAGACTTCAAGTAATACATTTTCAGTGATAATAATTGGCTTCATATTCTTGCTTTCCATTTTTTTCTTCTTGGAATGTAAGTAAATGGTCCCTGACTTGATTAAGGTGATCTTTGCTCAACTGAAGTGAAGTAGACTTGCATATGGGAAGTTGTAACAGTTGAAATGGTAGAACTAAATTGAATAAGATATAAAGGAGTACATTTTAGAAGGAGTTTTTTTTTTCAATACTGTATGTTAATAATAATATTTAGTGGATTCAGGGTTAAAGAATATTAGTTGCATATAACTACTTACCTGGAAGTTGTGGTAATATAGTCAAAATTCTTAAATCTAAATCATTATTGGGGAAGAACTCTGATATATAATTTATCCTATAGTTATTAGTTCATATAAAGAATCTCCGCTCTATCACTTTGGAGTATCATCACTTGGTCATAGAAAATGATAATATGCTGACATCAAAAGAAACTTTATAAAAATAGCATTAGTCCATATATTCGACCAATTAAAATATTTTAACTGTTTGCATCAAAACGCATTCAGATTCAAAAAAGAACCGATAACATTAAACACTGCTGCATGTGTCATGTAGGTGCAACTGAAAACCATTTTTATTCCATTCAGAATACTTATAAGAAATGAAACTGGATCATAGTTAATATTAGCCATGCCAACTTCATTGAGAGAATGTGTTAATGCAGATAGTTTAGACAAACGAAAACTTATAGTATAGGTAATAATATTGTGACAATAGATAGATAGATTTTATTCTTTTCAACTTTAGTTACAATAAATAAAGCAAAGAGTGTTAACGCGATTTATTACACACAAATATTTTTAATGTGATTAAAACTTTTAGATATACCTAAATCTTGTATAAAAATGTTGGAACGATTAATCCAACAATTGATTCATCTTGTTCTTCAGATTAATGAACTCAAGGAGGAGAATGATGAAGTAAAGATCGAAAATGAAAAGTTAAAACAAGCTTTGGAAACCAGATTTATGAATCTAGAACAGAAAGATAAAAAAAAAGAAAAACAACCTTATTTAGGTGAAAATATCTTAGCAGATATTTTATTATTTTTATTATTTATTCTTATAATTTCTTTTATGGTATGGAAATGCAAAAATGGTTATTGATTCACAAATCTATAGATGATGATAATTCTAATATAATATTTGGCACATTTTTTTTTTGTGATATCAAAAATTAAAATAAAAAGTAAAAAATTTTTTTTCTCCGAATTGAAAAATAGTGGGGGGAGGGGTTAGATACGTATAAAATGTATAAAAATGGATGACGAGGTGACGGTGAATCAAAAAAAAAAAATGATTCTCATAATATATACGATATACTCCTTTAGTTACAAAATTTTATTATTTTAAAATTTTTTATTCCCAGAGAGAAAAAAATAAAAAATATATAAATATTTATATGGATCTTTGCATCCTTGATTTCCCGAGATTATGATACACAATCACGATCAATCTATCCTATTTCAACAGTATAAGTATTCTCTTTCAATGCGAGAAAAAAAAAATACGTATAATACATTATGTGTTATGTTTAACATTAAAACTATATTTTAATAACAAGAAACAAATTCGAGTAACTATATACAGTTATATACAGTTTATCATACAATTTATTATACTATTTATCTTACTTTACTATACATAAAATATACACTATATATATATATACAGGTAAAAAGAACAATATTTTAAAAACAAAGAAAATTTACACGTGATTGACTATGATTTGACTACCTGGTATTTTTCCTGTTTGAGAGTTATGCGCACATCAAGACAAGACAGATCAAAATACATTGTAGATTAGATCAAATAGATAAATAGATTAAAATACCTAGAAATACAGTAGATAAAATTATTTATATGGAATGTATAAAATAAAATAAATAAAATAAAAAAAAAAAAAACATATAGAATACTGTATATAGATCAAAAAGTCAAAGAAACAGGTTTCACAATTTACCCCTGTCTTTTACAAACAATAATAAAAAAATTTTCTTTAGATGATGACGTTTTTATTATTATTATTAAACAAAAATGGGAAAAATTGCAAAATTCTTTACAAATTTGGATATCCATATTTTATAAATAATAAATAATAAATAATAAAGGGAAAACTGTAATTGTATATTATATTATGTATAGTGTAACGATGAGAAATCATACATTTTTTTTTTTTTCGAATTGTTTTCATTCATTTTGAGAACTCTTAAGACTCTTTACTTTTTGTTTTAAAAAAAAAAATTTTCTTATCTTAAACGATTCCAAATTAAATAAGTAAAATACGGATATAAATATTCATATACTTAAATATTTTATTGATTTTAAATCATTGTTAACATTTTATTTTGAAAATTTATTGAAAGTCATCAATCAATCATCATGTGGAAACAATGTTATTTTGTTCATCACTTCTAAAATAATATCTTCTCGACTACTATTAACTTTTATAACTTAAATAGGAAAAATAGGAAAATAGGAAATCATAAACTTGTTTTTTTTTAACATTAAACTTTAATTAAAAATATTAAATAAAATAAATAAATATATATGCTAAAAAATGTTTAAATTGTTAAAATCCGTTAAATATTTTCTTCGGTAATTACTAGTAATCATTAGTAATTATTAGTAATTAATTACTAGGAAATATTTCGTGTGATATTAATTTATTAGTAAAATATTTCGTGTTATTATTTTCCAATATATTTTAAAAATTCTAATATAACTCAAATGTAACTTTATATAACTTTACTATAACTTTAATTGAAATTTCATTAATTTTTATTTTATACAGTCTGTATATTTCTTATAACTCTAATTTCACGCGTGTCGTCATTCCAAATTGGGTCCTTTCCTAAGACTTGTGTTCCCTACTTTTTTTTCCCTTTATATGAAATTGTTTTCTTTATAATTCTATCATTCTTCCCTTTCCTCTTATCTTCCTTCTTTTTTCTTCTTCTCTCTCGTTTTCTCTCTCACTCTCACTCTCACTCTATCTCTATCTCTATTTCTATCGATCTTTCTCTTTCGTTTGTATTTTATATAATATATAAATAATATGATACCTTATCATTCTCTCAGCAACAACAACAATAATAACAATAACGATATGTCGTTATCAGCAGATAAATATAATAAAATCAATATAGCCGATAAATATATCAGACAAGAGAAAATTGGGGAAGGTTATTATTAACAAAAAAAAACCAACAATAATAATAAAAAAATAAAAATCAAGATAGAGATAAATGCATATACATATATATATATATATCAATTATATCAAATTTTTTTTTAAATTTTTATTTAAATTTTTAAAGGGACATACGGAGTAGTTTATAAAGCATGGAATAAAATAACTAGTCGCGTCGTGGCTTTAAAAAAAATAAGATTGGGACCAACCAAAGCTGAAGGATTAACAACCACCACATTGAGAGAGATATCTATATTAAGTCGTACCGATCATAAAAATATTGTAAAGTATGTGTCTTGATTTTTTTTTATCTTTAATTTTTTTATTTATTTAAATAGATTGATTGAATCAAATCATAATATATATATATATTATAATCATAATCATAATAATAATAATAATTATTATTATTATTATAATAATTAGATCAAATAATAATTTATAATACTTACTTTTTTTATAATACTTTATAATAATAATTTATAATAATTTGATAACGCGTTTTGAATTTGTAATTTATGATCACTTAATCTGTAATGACCTTTTTTATGAATTTTTTTTATGAATTATTTTAATGATTTAATCGTGAATTTTTATGTGATCTTTTCAATCAAATCATTATTCATCATCATCCGTCCATCTTCTCAAAATTCAATAACAAAAATTAATAATATTTATAATAATAATATATATAATAATAATATACAATAATGTATATGAATATATATATATATATATATATATATAATATAATATAATATTTATAAACATATATAAATTTATATAAATGTTATATTCTATTATCTTTAGACTTCTAGAATATCATCATCATCGAAGTAAATTATACATGGCATTTGAATTTTGTGAAATGGATTTAAGAAAATTCATTGATTCATATCAAAATCTTCGTTTGAGGATACCGGCTAACATTATTAAGGTATATTTGATATATATTTTGAGAAAATATAAAATGATTTTCAATGAATGAAATGAAATTAATAATTCTTATAAATTTAATTTAATTTAATTTAATTTTCTTATAATTATTTGATTATTATTATTTTGATGATGATGATTATTATTATTATTATTATTATTATTATTACAGAAATTTACATTTCAATTATTAAGTGGTATAAAGTATTGTCATTCTCACGGTATTCTTCATCGCGATTTAAAACCTCAAAATTTACTTATTGATGCGGCGGGAGATTTGAAAATAGCGGATTTTGGTTTAGCAAGACAATTAAGTTATTCTTTGAGACCTCTCACACATGAGGTAATATAAATATATCTAATATCTTTTAATATATATATATATATATATGTAATAATGATTTAATAATATATAATAATTTTTTAGGTTGTAACATTGTGGTATAGAGCTCCGGAAATTCTTCTCGGTTCAATGTATTATACAATGTCTATTGATATGTGGAGTGCTGGTTGTATTTTTGCTGAAATGTCTTCGGGAGCTGCTTTATTTAGAGGTATTTATTTTATATCATCCTTCTCCACGTGAATTATGGATTAATCTGACCGATATTATTATTACGAATAATTAATTTATTATTATTATTTTCATTAGGCGAAAGTGAAATAGATCAACTTTTCAAGATCTTTAAGTTAGTTTTTTTTTTTTTTTTTTTTAATTATTAATCTTTACCGTTATCACATATTCATTAATATATTTCATTAATTAATATATATATTTACCTTACATATATAAATAAATAGCTTGCTGGGAACACCTAACGAACAAATATGGCCTGGAATAAATCAATTACCTAATTTTAAGATGATTTTTCCCCTTTGGAAAAAATTTCCTTTGGGATTTTATTTTAGCGGTTTGAAGCATGATGCAGTAAACTTATTAGAAGTAAATATTTATTATTATTCTAGAATTTATTTTTTTATTATTACTTTATTAATTTTTATAAAAATATATTTAATAATTAATTAATTAATTATTAACTCTCGATATTATTATTATTATTATTATTATTATTATTATTTAGCAATGTTTGATATATGCGCCAAATAAGCGACTTTCAGCTAAACGCGCTCTGTGTCATCCATATTTCGATGATATAAATTTTCCTCTCAAATTTCAATAATAATTATAATAATAATAATTTCAACAAGTAATTTTTTTCAATTGTAACAACAATAATAATAGTAATAATAATAATAATAATAAAAGGATTAGTAATAAATTTCAAAAGGGAATAATATACTGTATTTTTTTGGGAGGGATAACTTTGAAGGAAAAAAAAAATCGACTTTTTTTCTTTCTTTGTACATATTTTTTGTACATAAATTTTTTTTTCATTTCATTTTTATAACAACAACATAACAGGAACAATAGGTGTAACAGGAAATAACAGAAGAGGTTTTAAAAAATATTTTATTATATTGGAGGAATTTTAATCGGGTTTAATATTATTACGTAGTTAGAAAAATTGGAAATTTGTTAATTAAAAAAAAAATAAAAAAAAATGAATAAAAAAAAAACAATTTTGGTTTAATAAATTCCGAATTTAAAAGAATGAATGTATGCAATGAGATGAATAAACGCTTTTCTTTTCTTTATCATCATTATTATCATTATGATTATCATTATTATCATTATTATCATTATCGTCAGCCATTCCATTTTTGATACACCGTGATACATAAATACATAATTCACGTGAAAATTCAAATATTGATATTTGGAAAATTTGTTCAAACGATACTTGGAAAAAAATGGGTAAATCTTATGCTATAGTTTGCGCAAGTAATCAAAATCGTAGTATGGAAGCTCACCATGTATTAGTGTAAGAAGAAAGAATTTTTTATATTTTTAAAATTATTATATTTTTTTTTGCTTATGATAATGCTTAGAAGTTATTATAACATGTATTATTTTAACTTTAAAAGTTTTTTATTCTAATATATATAATAATCTTACTTTGGTTTTTTTTTATCTAATCTATATAATCATCCTACGTTTATTTTTTTTTTAAATATACTTTAATTAGTAAATGTGGATTTCAGGTTGCATCGTATGGAACAGGTTCCGCAGTTAGACTTCCGGGACCTAGTATCGAACGTCCAAATATTTATCCTTTTGGAACTCCTTACGATGACATGTATCAAGATTTATTAATAAAAGATCCTAAATTGTAAACTTATTTATTGTAATAAATATTAATAATTAATTAATTAATTAATTTATTTATTTATTTAATTATTATTATTTATTATTATTATTATTATTATTATTATTAAAAGATATAAACAAAATGGATTATTAGATATGTTGGATAGAAATCGTAAAATCAAATTAGCACCCGAACAATGGTCAATTGATGCGAAAGATGATTTTGATGTTATTATAAGTTGCGAGGAAAGATGTTTTGACGTTATTTGTGAAGGTATTCTTTATTATTATTTTTAATTGATTTCCCTTATTTTTTAATCAATATTCCCTTATTTTAATCGATCTCATTTTTTTCTAGATTTGACGGATAGAGGAGAAACTCGAAATAGACCAGTTCATGTGATTAACATTGATATAAAAGATAATCACGAAGATGCACTGTTGGGAGGTCGAGCTATATTACAACTCGTTCAAATGGTTTGTTGCTCTCTTTTTTTCTTTTATATATTTATATATTTATATTTATATATGTATATAATATATTTTTATATATATTTCTGTGTATATATGTGTATTATATTATATATATGTGTATATATATTTGTATACATAATTTGCTTTTTCTTTTTCTTGAATCAAAAAATCACTAACTTTTTTTATTATTTGAAACCCTTCTCTCTCTTCTTTTATTATTATTATTATTATTATTTCTCTTCCGCTCTTCTCTTAATATAAAATCAAAATATAAAAATCAAATAAATCAAATAAATATAAATCAAATCAAATATCGATCAAAATATATATAAATTATTGATGGGAACAATTTATGTGATATTACGATACGTGATATTACTATATGTGATATTACAATATATGTAATATGTGTGTGTATTAAAAAATATATCTATTGCTTGCTTTTTTCTTTTCTTTGCGATTTTTTTTTTCCTAAATTAATAAATAAATAATTTAATTGATTAATTCATTACACATACTAATAATAATAATAATAATATATACACCATATTAAATATATTCACACAATTTAATATATACTTAATTTAATATACCCAATATTAATCTAACACGATATAATATATAATCTAAGATTGATAGTGAACGCATTAATGATTTAGAAGAAGAGATACAAAATGTTTTACAGGAATGGCAAGGAAAATATAAATATGAAATTCTTCATTGTATAGCATATTTTTGATTATTAATCAACGTGAAATAAATAATCATAATAATAATAATAACAACAATAATAATTTTATTATTTGTTAAATATTTACGCAAATTGTTTCAAATTATTTCAAAATTATCAAATTATTATTTATATTGCATCGAGGAATATTAATGAGCTAACTAATTATATAATGATAATAATAATAATTAAAATTAGAGTGTATGATTAGATTAGAGCGTTTTGAACAGTTAAGGAAACGTGTGAGATCATATTTCCTATAAAGGAAAGAAGTAATTTAATTTCTTTCTGTGTAATGAAACTTTCATTTGGCACGTGAAAATAAAATAAATTTATTCTTTATCCGTTATAATTCGTGGTATTTATTTGTTGTTTGAGGTACAGAAAATAATGAATCAATCATTAATCTCTTTTCCTTATTAATTTATTTCTTTCTTCATGTTAATGTCTCAACCATTATCAATGCAAGTAAAATGAGAAACGAACGAAATGTCTAATGAACAAAATAGAATGTCACACTACACAAAACGTTCAAATAAAGACACAATTGAATCGTGGACCTAAATCAGTATATCTTGGGAACAGAATTTTTTTTTTCATTATTGCATTGCGTTACATTTTCGTACATATACGTGAACATATAAGAGAACATAAACGCACATACACAAAAGTATATACCAATACATATAAGAATTGTTATTGTTATAACTTTTATTAATTAATTGATTATTAGGTTGATTATTTTGTTAATTTGTTATTAATCGGATTGTTTAGATAAATGTTTGAGGTATAATAATATCAGGAGAATGCGAACTTAAAATTTGAGATGATTTGGAATTTTGAATGCAAGGATTTCATTGAATTTGAAACTTCAAGGAATTTTTTTTAAGGTTTATTCCATATTTAAATAATTTAGGTTTATCATCACCATAAATTATAATGATACTATAATCAATCTTTTAACGTATTATTGAACGTTATCAGTTATAATGAATATTTTTTTTTTATATTATCAAATTTCATTATCACTTCACATTTCGGAAATCATTCAAAATTCATAATGAATTCAAATTTTGAAATTATATTTTTTCTTTCGTAAAATCATTTTCTTAAAAAAAAAAATTAAACATTTAAAATAATCAAAATTAATATAATTAAAATAATTATTTTATTTTAGCATTTTCTACCATTGTTAGCATATAAAGCATTTTTATCCCATTTTATCTTTTTTAAGCGGGAGACAAAACATAATATATATATATAAAAGTATATATATATATATAAAGTTTTTTTAGTATCGTGAGTACCAATAATATCAATTAAATACAGTATACAAATATATAATAAACAATTCTATAAATACATTACAAAGAAAATCTACAATTGGTTCACAAATAAGCTTTTTAGTCGTACTAATGTAGTACTACACCTAATTTAATATAGAGTGAAGCGTTTAGAAATATACTACTGTACTGTAGATAATAATAATAATGTTGTTGTTGTTGTTGTTGTTGTGTTATTATGTTGTTGTTGTGTTGTGAGCTTTTAAAGAAAGCCCCTGAAAAATAAAATGAAGAAAGATATGAAGAAATAAGTAAATCTGGGGTTGATACTTTTAATAGACAGTAATATATATTTGATTGCTGATTATATTTTAAAATTTAAATTAATTAAATTTGATTGCTAAATAAAGAAAATCTAGTGTGCGTGAAGCCAATATATGTATCATGTATGATTTATTCCATATATTTGTTAATCCTAATCGAGTAGTGTAATTCCAGTAGAGCAATAAATAATAATAATAATAATAATAATAAATAACAAATAACAATAATAATAATAATAATATAACTAAGCACTGGTAAATAGTGGTAAATCTTAATTAATCCATTGTTTGTCCTTTTCTACTTCTTTTAAACTTTCTCCTATTATTATTATTTATTTTTTTCTTTTCCGTAGACCTTATTATTATCATTTTTCATATCCTTTAATAAAAATAATAGAATAATAATAATAATAATCTGAATTACTATCTTTTGAGATTTTCAATTCCATCTTCTTTTTCTCTTTTCTTAATCTCCTATTACATTCTTTTCCTTTCCTATTCCATCCTCCATCCTCCATCCTCCTTCCTCCACCCTCCATCCTTCATCCTCCATCCTCTACCCCCTATCCTCTATCCTCTATCCTCTTACTATCTATCTTTATCTTTCTTTTCATTATTATTTTATTGATATAAATAATAAATAAATATACATTTATACATATAAAATGAATATATCCAACTAATAATAAAAACAATAATTCTAAGTTCAAAACGACGAAAGAATAAATAGATATATATACAATTAATAATCCTTTTTATGTCGAATTATTATTATTATTTGGATTCTTGCATATTTCATTTAATAGTTGGTTCGGTTTAAGTTCTTACATATATTATATATATACATTTATATATATATATATATATGTATACTGTATGTGATTTAAAAAAAAAAATAATATGTTGGTTTACTCTTTTTAGTTTTTAAAGTAACGACTTTTCTAAAATTTTAAATTTATTCTTTTTTTTTTTTTTTTTCTACACAACATTATTCCATCCATTTTTATCTCCAATTTCTTCCACTCTTTCCTTCTCCAATTTCACCATTTCAACCCTCCCCGAGATTAAGATTAAAGATTAAGAAGAAGAATAATAAATAATTTCATCATTTCATCTTATCCGAAAAACCTTCAAATCATCATTATCATTTCTCGATAATAACTTTTAAACTACGCCATTTTAATTTACCTTTTTAATTTATTGAAATATATATATATATTAATCTAATCGATCGAACAATAATAATAATTATAATAATAATAATAAAGAATAACATAACATATATAAATATATATCATTGGCATAATTCAATCATTCATAGCATTTATTTAGAAAATTACATTTGCAACAACAACAACATTTTACAACATCGACAACATTTCACTTTTATAAACATTTATCAGTACATTTATTTTTACAAGTCAACGTTTTACCATGTTTTTTGGACCTAGGAAATCTTCGTCATCATCATCATCACCAAGAAAATATTTACTATTGAATATTCTAGTAGGATTAATATTAATAAGTTTAATAGTGGTGGTTGTAAGTGGTGGTGGTGATGATGATTCAATAATAAATCGTGATAATGATTTAAAATTATTAAATTTTGATAAAGTTGGTGGGCAGGATCCCCCGTTAAATAAAAAAAGATCAATGAAGGAATTATTTTTATTAGAAAAGAGAGAAGAAGTTGTTGAAATTACTATTACTACTACTATCACTACTGCTCCAACTGAAACACCGATAACACCAGAAGAGACAATGACAACAACTTCTCAAATGATCAATGTCAACTCAACTGTTTCAACTATTTCAGAAGAGACACTAACTGATAAATTAGTTACCGGAACTACCACAAAATCAGAAGAAAATTTTTGGGAAACGACAACAACTCAGGATATTAGCCTTACTAAAGCCGATGTTCCAACCGAAACGCCAGTTCCCGAGGCTACTACGGAATCAGAAACAGATGTTCCAGAGACTACTACTACGAAATCAGATATAAAGCCCACTGAAACTACTGAAACTACTGAACCTACTGATGCTACTACTTCAGAAGAAAATATTCCCACAGAGACTACTACAGAATCAGAAAAAAATGAAAATAAAATTACTCCCGAAGCTACTACAGGATCAGAAACAGATGTTCCAGAGACTACTACTACGGAACCAGATACAAAGCCCACTGAAACTAATGAAACTACTGAAACTACTGAACCTACTGATGCTGTTACAACTACTACTTCAGAAGAAAATATTCCCGCAGAGGCTACTACGGAATCAGAAAAGAATAAAAATAAAATTGTTCCCGAAGCTACTACAGGATCAGAAACAGATGTTCCAGAGACTACTACTACGGAACCAGATACAAAGCCCACTGAAACTAATGAAACTACTGAAACTACTGAAACTACTGAAACTACTGAACCTACTGATGCTGTTACAACTACTACTTCAGAAGAAAATATTCCCACGAAATCAGAAACAGATGTTTCAGCGACTACTGCGGAATCAGAAAATAATAAAAATAAAATTGTTCCCGAAGCTACTACAGGATCAGAAACGGGTGTCCCCGAAGCTACTACAGGATCAGAAACAGGTGTTCCAGAGACTACTACTACGAAACCAGATATAAAGTCCACTGAATCTGCTGAACCTACTGCACCTACTGAACCTACTGATACTGAAAATATTCCCGCAGAGACTACTACGGAATCAGAAAAGAATAAAAATAAAATTGTTCCCGAAGCTACTACAGGATCAGAAACAGGTGTTCCCGAAGCTACTACAGGATCAGAAACAGGCGTTCCAGAGACTACTACTACGGAACCAGATACAAAGTCCACTGAAACTACTGAACCTACTGATGCTGTTACAACTACTACTTCAGAAGAAAATATTCCCGCAGAGGCTACTACGGAATCAGAAAAGAATAAAAATAAAATTGTTCCCGAAGCTACTACAGGATCAGAAACAGATGTTCCAGAGACTACTACTACGGAACCAGATACAAAGCCCACTGAAACTAATGAAACTACTGAAACTACTGAA